ACCAGGACTCAAACCCCTGAAGCCACAACCTCCTTCTGGAGGTTGTGTTCTGACCATCCCACCTCCCTACCTGTGGGAGCTGGGATGCTCTGGGCAGGATGCAGGATTGGCAGCAGGCAAGCGATCACCGTGTTCAAACTCTCTTATCCCTTATCTTCAGAGCTTTAGGAAAGCAAAAGGATTTCTCAGCTGCACTAGAGATGGGGAAGGCGCTGGTGGGTTGGTCAGTTGATCCCCAGAGGTTTGCAGTGCTGCAGGTGCAGAACCCAGGACGAGGGCGCTGCCCTCGCACCCCCCTGGCGCGGTGGCACCGGAGGACGTCACGCAGGAGCTGCCTGTTCCAGCCGTGGCCAGGGCAAGGGCGGCCAGGGCAGGGCTCGGAAGCCACTTTGTTGGGTTTTTTTTTTTAGGCTTGCATAAAAATAGAGGAAGGGAGGGACCAGCTGTGACTTTCAGAGGCTGTGTGGCCCCGGCACTGCCCTGAGTTCCGTATGAGCCGCCTGGTTTGTTGTGCTTCATCCTGTCTTGGGGAGTTGTTTCTGTCCTTCCTCCTGCCCCAGCCCTGGGTGATGGGCTGTGTTACCTTCACTGGGAACACTGGGAGCCCCAGTGGTGTTTGTGACCACGGACCATGAGGTGTCATGGTGAACAGGGAAAAACTCAGTGCTGTTAGATCCAGAGGGGACCCCACATCCAACCCCCTGGAGGTCGTGTATGGACTTGGGATGGGTTGGGGTGGGATGGGATGGGAGGAAGGACCCCGGCACCCAAGCCCTGGGATGAGTCACTCTCATGCCCCCACTGATGAAGTCCCAGGGGCAGGCAGCTGCCCTCTGCTCCAAGATGAGCACTTAGGCTTTGCCCAGGGGAAGCAGCAGGCTTATATGTATATATTTCACATATATTTTCACATACTCATTAGAAATATATTTTCTATTTTAAAATATATATAAATTGCATTTTGTGTATATATATGTATACACACGTTACTCTTTTGTATGGAGCAATATATACATTGATTTATGTATATCAAAAAGTGTATATATATATTGCTTTGCCTATATATATATAGCTTTTTGGAAGAAGATCTCCCATGGTCTGAGCCCACCCAGGGCTGTGGGTGTCGGTGAGTGCTGGGATCACGGTGTCCCCAAGCACTGTTTATAGCCAGGGCTGGCCTGGCCTTTCCACAGCCACCGGGTTTCCTGCTCCAGGCCCGGAGTGCGGGTTTCCGGGCTGGAGACTGGTTGAATCACCGGAGCGGGGGGAGCTGAGTAATCCTCCATCCCCTTGGTGGAAAACTCAGGTGGGGGGATTTGGGTGCCAGCGGGTGAGCCCCCATCCCGTCAGGGCAGCATGGAGGGGATGGCATGGCTGGCACCCAGGCCTGGGGGCACTCAGCGGAGGGGGAGAGGGACCGCTCTGGCTGTGGCAGGGTCAGAAACTGAGCAGCAAAGTTCCAGGATTCCTGGAAAAAGCCCGGCACAAGGGTAGTTTTGTCCAGCTTGCGAACACCGGCAGGCCTTGTTGGCATTTTCCATGCTCCCCCTGGGAAACCATACCCAGCCCACCTCCTCCCCGTGTGCTCCGAGCATCCTTCCTGCTGCCAGTTTATTTCTATTTTATTTACTTTTGTTGGGTTTTTTTTCTGCATCCCCATCAGCTGCCTTGGACAGGGAGGTCTGTGCCTCCCTGGTGCCCCCCAGTTTTTTGAGGTCCTGCCTGGGGACGTGGCATCCACCAGCTGTTGATGCACAGGCTCCTTCTGGGAAGCAGCCAGCCCTGTGCTGGAATGGGACGGCCCTTGGGAAAAACGCCCTATGTCACCATGGGGTTTTAAAAAAATGTGATTATTTTTACAGCAATTTTCCATCTATTTTGGGTAGGAAGGAAAATGCTGAGGGGAATCTCTTTTTATTGTTAGTTTTTGAGTCTTTAGGGTAACTCTGCTTTTAAGACACCCCTTTGACAGTCCCATCTGATGATGGAGACCCTACAGGTGCTGAGGGGGGTGGGCTCTGCAGCCATCCCTCTGTTCAGCCATCTGTCTGTCCTGCAGGGAAAGAGATTGGTGTGTTTGTCCAGAACTAAAACCTATCAGTAAATCCATGCTCAAATAATAGCTGCTGTTTGCCAGGCTGGGAAAACTTGCCGGGACAGCATCTGGGGATGGGGCTTCAGCTGCTGGGGATGGAGATGGCTCCGGACCCACTGGTGGATTGAATTCCAGTTTTTCCCCCGTAATAAGGCAAATTTTCCAGCTGTGCATCGCTTCCATCCATGCCTGGATATTTGAAGGCATAGAACGTGATGGTGCCGTGTGGAAAAATGGAAAATCCACTCTTGGTGATGCGGGATGAGGTGGATCCTGAAACCTGTGGCCAGCTCCTAAAATATAGGGATTACATATGTGTTGCCCAGAACTATGTGCGTATATTGCATTAAATATCTACTGCCCAGAAAGCGTCGTAAATCGTGGGCTGCAAAATATATATGTTGGCTCAATAAACTTTTTGCCAGTCGATCAGCAGGGTGTTCTGGAGCTGGGCAGCTGCTTGCTTATTTTAAGTTTTGAAGATTATTTTTAACAAAAAAAGGAGGAAATGAGCTCTAGAGAGAGCTCTCCTCCTGTTTTGCCAGGCTCTGCCCTGGGAACTGCCTGCTCCTGGCAGAGAGGAGGGCTGGAGGGAGCAGAGCTGTGAGGTCAGGCCATGGTGGTCGGGAGGGGGGGTCTCTCTGTCCTCCCTGATGCTGCCTGGGGGGTCTGGAGGAGGCAAAGCCCCTTTGACAGTGCCTCGTCCTGCCTGGGCTGGGCTTGAGGGTGGAAGCCGGCTGTTGGCTTCTGGCCCAGGAATTGTTTTGGGGCTGAATGGGCGGCAGCTGGGATTTTCCGGGGATTGGAAACCCTTCCCCTCTGCTGCCCTCACCGAGGGGGGGCTGTGCAAGGTTCCCCACACGGGAGGGAGGGTATTAATTAAGACCCAAATTCCTGCTCAATGCAAGTGCACAGGCTCTTGTGCTAGGTGAGCTCCTGGTGGCAGGCAGAGGTGCAGGGGGAAACAGCATGGCCACCTTCCTCATGGAGCAGGAAAGAAGCCGGGAGACGCTGGGGAAGTTTGCGAGGAAATGGTCAGCCTTGGTGATGGTCACCCTGTGACTGTCACTCCTGCAGGCAGGAGGTCCCAGGGGAATTGTTCCCTCCTGGCAGGGAGCAAATGTCAGGATAGGGCAGAGCAGAAGAATGGGAAACAGCTGTCTGGCTGTCTGGCACCTCACCCCAGGGATGCTGATAAGCAGGGTTCTTGCTTGCCACGTGCCTCAGTTTCCCTGTCCAGGCACCCGTCAGGGAAGGGCAGGGTGAGTGCAGCTGGCTCTAGCTGCCTGACCCAGCAGTACACGGTGGTGTTGTCAGAAACCAGAGGTATTTAATGGAAAAAATGAAGGGATATGCTGAGTCCTTCCCCCCTACTCCCAGCTCCTGGCAGGAGTTACCAGCACTGACCACGAGCGCTGGCTGGACTGTGCTGGGTGCCGCGTCAGCATCCTGAGGGCGCCAGAGGAGGATCGGTCGGCAGTGCCGGAGAGCCCCTGCAGTGCCGAATGGTGACCTCTGAGCTGAGCAGAGCCTCTCCCTCTGCACATATGGCACGGGAACCATGGAGCAGGGTGCTCATGGCAATGAATACAGGATCTGCATAGCCTCAGTGTGGCCCCAGCATCAGGGTGCTCCGTACCCTGAGCAGTGCTGCCGTGGTGTCCCTGGGGGCACATGGCCATCACATGGGTGGCATTCAGACTGGGGACATGTGCAGAAGGAGTTTACTCCCTGCGCCATGTCCCAGCTGGCATGACGGGCCCTGTTATTGCCAGTTAATTTTAGCATAATCTCCTTTTTTTTTCCTAATTTTTTTTTTAACCTCCTTGTGATCTCTCTGCCCCCTCTGCAGCTGTGCTGGTGCAGCCCTTGGGGCCCCCCATAAGGGCAGCTCTGTGGCCGAGAGCAGTGTTGGGGAGACAGGAATGGACTGAAAATGGACAGGAAGAGGACATAGGAATGGACTTGGCTTGGGGAGATCCCCTGGGACCTGCACCCAGAGGCAAGGACCATGCTGGTCCCCAGCCAAAGAGGCTGGTGAGGGTCTCGGAGCGAGACAAGCCAGGCACTCATCCATCTCGTGGGGACAGGGGACATGCACCGCCCCTTTCAGCTTCCCCTTTCAGCTTCCCCTTTCTTGCAGCCGGGGTGACTTTACTCCTTCCCTGCTTGCAGCCTGGGGAGGGAGGGCTGGGCCAGGCTGCACGTTGCCTGCGTAGGGATGACATCCCTAAGGGGGACAGGGTGGAGGAGGGGGAACCTTGGACACCCTGGCTGTCCCTCTGAACTTCTGGAACCCTGCATTTGGATGCTGAAAAACAAAATGACCCCAAAAGCCATCGGCTTTCCCTGCTGACAGCTGCCTTTGCAGTGAGCTGGGACACAGGACCCGGCAGGTTGGGAAGTGTGTGCTATTTAAGAACCAACCCGGGGGCGACTGGTCCCACTGGGATCACTCAAGCTGGCTGGGGGAGGTGGCAGCTTCTTCCCGAGTTCCCTACCCATACCTGGTGACATGAGCATCCCTGCATCCTGGCTTCTGCCAGCTCCAACTGTGGGCACGCAGTGAGCATTCCCCAAAGCTGGGGTATCCAGTTGACCGTGGTGTGCTGGGATCACGGGGAAATGTTAGTGTGTTGATGCCATTTTCCTGGCCCAGAACAGGTGTCATTTCTCCCGTCAGGAACTATTGCAAGGTCCCCCACAGGCTCCCCTCTTCCTCCCTCTTTCTTGGTCCTGATATTCCCAGTGCCCATCCAAACATCTGCTCTCACAAATGCTGGGAGCTCTTCTCCGATGGCTGAAGCACCTGCCGTGTTCCCTCCCTGGGCTGGAGGGGTGTCCCAGTCGGGTGGGGGTCCCTGGCTTTGAGCAGGACCTCATCTTCCCTTCTCATTTCTCCGCAGGTGCCGGCGAGTCTGGGAAGAGCACCATTGTCAAACAGATGAAGTGAGTGGTCCCTGCGCTGTCGCTGTGGCCAACACCACTCAGACCTTATACCTTTCCCCTCGATTGGGGAAGGCTCCCCATCAGTGTTGCCACAGAGCATGGGTGGGGAGCAGCACCCTGGGGTGCCCCCCAAAGGGCTGACCTTGTCTGTGTCTCTCCCCTGCCCCAGGATCATCCACGAGGATGGCTACTCAGAGGAGGAGTGCCGGCAGTACAAAGCTGTGGTCTACAGCAACACCATCCAGTCCATCATGGCCATCATCAAGGCCATGGGGAACCTGCAGATTGACTTTGGAGACTCCTCCAGAGCGGTGGGTGCCCTCCTGCTCTCACCACGCCTGGCAGGGATGGGGATTCTTGGGGCCTAAAGCAGATGTGCCCAAAGCTGGACCAGGATTAATAGTGGCCCTGCCCAAGCCCTGCTGTTCCCTGGATGACTGTTTCCTCCTGTCTCTGGCACTGAGGATGGGAGGACCCAAAGCATAATCCATGGGTGGCTGCACTGGCACAGCTCCTGATGGGTGCAGGGGTGGGGGTCCTGCTGCTTCCCTTGGGTCTCATCTCCATCCACCACTGGAGCTTCCACCGTGCTGTCCGTGTGGGATCTGTTGGGCTCCAGTCAGGTCCTCTGGAGCAGAGTGAACTTTGCTAAGCCGGTGCCAGTGCTCAAGCTCTGTTTTTTCCCTGCAGGATGATGCTCGGCAGCTGTTTGCGCTCTCCTGCACCGCTGAGGAGCAGGGCATCATGCCGGAGGACCTGGCCAATGTCATCCGGAGGCTGTGGGCTGACAACGGGGTTCAGGCCTGTTTCAACCGCTCCCGAGAGTACCAGCTGAACGACTCTGCTGCCTAGTGAGTACTCCTGCTCCTCTGCCCCAGCTTGGCTGATCTGGGCCCTGTGAACCGCGGCGCTTTTATCGAGCAGCAGAAAATCCCTCTGGAGGCCTCTGTTCTCCATTGCCAGGCTTGGGGCTGGTGCTGGCACTTCCCACGTGATGCTGGGGCTGAGCCGGAGCAGAACTGGGAAGGCGGATGTTTCGAAAGCTGTTTCCTCCTCTAGTGGGGTGCTGTGTCCCCTGAGGGGGGGCACCGGGGCATCTCCCTCCTTCCAGTGCTCGGTGCCCACTGCCCTTCCCTGGGGGATGCTTCTCAGTGACTCCCCCATATGAACACAGCTGGGATCCTGCCCACCCTCCTCGCCCTTCATGGGCCATGAAGGCAAGAAAAAACCCCAAGGAAAGCACTGGGACACTTAGATCTGAAGAGGATGAGTAGAACGTTCAAGAGGCTTTTCTTTTTAACTGATTTTATATGGAAAGACTCAGCTTTAAACTGGCACATTACCCAGCAAACCAGTGTTTAGGTAGATAAATTGATGCATCTGGTTGGGTTTATCCTTGAAGAGATTAATAAATAAGTTAATCTGCCTAATGTACCGTTGCTGGAGAGGGCAACACAGATGAATCTGCGTTTAGCTTGCACAGTGCCCTCGTGGTAAAGTGTGGCAGGGGAGCTCATGGTGTGCCAGGAACACCCCGCCAAGCCTGGCTCCACCAGCACGCTTGGGACTCACTGCCAGTCCAGGGCTGTCCAACCCCCAGCTGTCCCCTCCTGCGTGGCACTGCTGGGTCCCCCTTCTGTACTGAGGTCATTGTGGGGAAGAGGTTGCAGGAAAGCTCCTGGCAAGTGCCAACCCTGGAGAAGCTCCTGGCGGCACTTTCCCCCAACACCCATGGGTTTCACTTCCTCCTGACAGGCACACACCCGCCCTCCCTGGCTCCTGTCTGCTCAGCCCCATCACTGAGGCATTTTCCCAGCAGTGAGTGCAGGTCTGGGGACAGGGGACACCCGGCAGGTACCTGGCAGCTCACACACAGAGTTGGAGCAACTGTACTTGCACAGTGTCTACGAATTGTGTACTGCTGTTAGAGCTGTTATGGAGCATGGCGGGGGCTGGACAACCATTAATTAGGAGTGCCCTCAAGCTGTTGCTCCAGCCCATTTCCAGCCCTGTAGAGATACTAGTGCGGTGGTTGATGCCCTGCCCATCCCATGGGAATGATGTTGTGCTCACTGTGCTGCTGGCAGAGGGCAGCCCCGGGGATAAGGAGCCCCGTGCCGTGCCTGGCACGCAGCCCACCTGTGCCCCAGCCCTCTGCAGAAGCTGCAGCCTCCTCCTCCACAGTGCCTTAGGATTCCAGGAGCTTGGGGTGCCGGGGTGGTGCTCACCAGCACCCTGGGGCTTGGTGCAAGGTCCGAGAGCCGCTGGCGCAGCGCAGGGCCCTGCCGCGGTGTTTCCTGTTTTTTTGTCAGCCGGAGGCTGTCTGTGTTTCCGGCTGTTTTTGAGCTGCTCCACAGCCGCGACGTGCCGGCCCCCCGCCCTCACACCCACGGCAGGGTCCTGGTGCACCTCCAGCCCGGCCTTGCCCCGGCACGCTGCAGGGTTTCCCAGGAGCTGGCGAGCGGCTGTGCTGCTGCCAGAGCCAAGGATCCCTATGGCCTTGCGGGCTGTAATCTGGCTTTCACCAGATTATGACTCTGCAAATACCTTAATTAAGACAAGCCTAATTTGCTTAAAGGAGCCCGTTTGCAGTAACCCAATTAAAGCAATGTGAGCTGGAAAAATCAAAACCCGCCTTGATCCCCCCAGGCAGTTCTTGGTTGTCACGGTCACAGTGGGCGCTGCGCCTTGGGGACCCGGCCACCGCTGCTGCTGGGAGCCTGTGTGGGCAGCAGGGCAGGCGATGGCTGGGGATGGCCACGGTCTCCTGCTGTGCTGCTCCCTGTCTCTCCGGCCGCCCGCCTCCCGCTTCCTCCCAGGACGCCGTCCCTTTGTGTTTTTGACTATAAATGGCACGGCGCCATCGATTGTTTCCGCCGGTGCTGCGGCTGGTTGCCATAGCGCTGAATATTTTCCCCTTGCCATTTCCCCCTTGTGCAAACGGCCAGGGGAAGAGGGTGAACCCCTCTGCTCTGGCTGCATCCTCTGCCTGGCTCCCAGCACCAGCACACTGCCCCCCAATCCCTCGGTCCTGTGTGTCCTGTGCCACCCCTGGTGTCCTGCTCTGCCTGTGTCTGGCAGGGACACGGGGTGATCCTGGGGTGCAGATGGGGCCCCCACTGTGCTGCCCAGCTTGGCACTGCCCACCCTGAATGGACGATGCTGGGAGATGGCCAGGGGATGTCTGGGACGGTGTGGGATTTGGTGGGTTGTGCCCCACGGTCCAGCTCCCACAGCACCTTTCCTCTTACTCCCCAGCTACCTGAATGACCTGGAGAGGATAGCCCGTGCCGACTACATCCCCACCCAGCAGGATGTGCTGCGCACCAGGGTGAAGACCACTGGCATCGTAGAGACCCACTTCACCTTCAAGGACCTGCACTTCAAGTATGTTCGACCCTTTCCCTTTTGCCTTTCCCATGGCAAAAAAACCCCCCTTCCTCCCCATGCCGGGATGGATCCTGGTTGCACGCTGCATACACCCTGCCCCGGGTTTGCTCATGGTGGGAACTGCTGCCTCAGAGAGAGCGGAAACCGCTGAAAGAGCTGGAACAGCCTCAAAAACGCGTCGCAGGGCTCAGCCCAGGGGCGGATCCAGGCTCTGGCACGGAGGGGAAGGGGGAAGGCATCCATCCTCCGGGTGCGATGACGCTGCTTCCGTTGTGGGAAGGGCACCGGGGAGGAGCTGGGGTTTTGGGGTCAGGCACTGGCACTGCTGCCTGTTGGCACCCCGCGGTTGCTTTCCACTGAAACCCACGGGAAATAGTCAGGGCTCCAGTTTCTGAGGCAAAAAGCTGGCACTGTGCACATCCCAGGGGATTTAGTCCCATGGCAACAGAGCTGATGTCAGAAGGATCTGCTGGGGTCCTCTCTGAATGCAAGAGGCTCTCAGGGACCCCTGTGCCACCCTGGTGGGATGGAGATGCTTGGTCACACATCACTAGGGCAGTGCTTTGGAGGTGGCAGCGGTGGGGGTCTTGGGGGGGGCGGGATGCAGTGAGTCCCGGTGGGAAAGCCTTCCTGCCAACTCGAGTGAATGTGGCCATGGTGCTGCTGCTGTGCTTTTCCCTGTGGAGGCAGGGCATCCTCTGCTGCCAGTGGCAGATGAGGCACACAGTGCACTGGGATCATCCTTGTGCTCCTGCAGGCCTGCTGAGCCTGCAGCCACTTGGCTTCCCTTGGTCCAAGGTCTCTGGCAAAGCTCAGCAGTGCCCACTCTAGAACAGGTCCCTGGGAAGCATCACACTGACACCTTCTGGGAAAGGTGGCCTGATCCTGCCCTGGCTCACATCAGGAATCCGCTCCAGTTGGGAAAAGAGCCTGGACACTGCCCTGTCCCTGAGATAGGCAGCAGGTGCCAGGGCGGATCTTCAGCACTGGCAAAACCCTTGGGCAGAGGCACTGTGCTGTGCCCATGCCTGTACTGCTCCTGCTCTGGGCAGCTGGGGACATTGAGTCAGGGCATGGGGCAAGGGCTGTGGGGCCAGGAGCTGCTGCCCATCCCCGCATCACCTCTCTGCTGCAGGATGTTTGACGTGGGTGGCCAGCGCTCGGAGCGGAAGAAGTGGATCCACTGCTTCGAGGGGGTGACTGCTATCATTTTCTGCGTGGCCCTGAGTGCCTATGACCTGGTCCTGGCTGAAGATGAGGAGATGGTGAGTCACAGAGATGGAATCAGCTCTGTGAGCCATTCCCTCCTTGGGGGACTGGGGGAACACCCCCTCCTCTGCGGGCTGCCAGTGTGGTCCAAGCCTTGCAGGCCCATTGGCATCCCCTGCCTGGGCAGGCAGGAACATGGGAGGTGGCAGGGTGGGAAGCAGTGGGGTAGGTGCTGCTTGGGGTTCCCTGTCCAGCTCACACTGCCATCTCCCCTGCCAGAACCGGATGCACGAGAGCATGAAGCTGTTTGACAGCATCTGCAATAACAAGTGGTTCACAGACACGTCCATCATCCTTTTCCTCAACAAGAAGGACCTCTTTGAGGAGAAGATCGTGCACAGCTCCCTCACCATCTGCTTCCCCGAGTACACAGGTACCACTGGGACCTGCAGTACCCCCCTGTTCTCCTCGCAGGGGTATTGGGCCGAGTAGTAGGAGGTGTTGGGGATGGAGATGGCTCTCCTGTTGAGGAGCAGTGTGTTGGGGCAGCAAGTGGGGTGTAGTGGTGTTTGGAGTGTCCCAGGGGATGGGGGAAGATGTGGGAGGACACAACACGAGGGGCAGCAGCCCTAGGGCATTAGCTGAGGCTCCCTCTGCCTTTGGAGCATCAGTTTGGCATTGGGGCAGTGGCTGTGGCAGCACAGGGAGCCAAGGCAGGCCCAAAACTCTTTGGTGCCAGTGGCAGTTGGGTGCCGGTGGCCGTGGGCGACTGTGGGGCAGCCCATTGTCTCCTCCTGCCCAGGGGCCAACAAGTATGACGAGGCAGCCAGCTACATCCAGAGCAAGTTTGAGGACCTGAACAAGCGGAAGGACACCAAGGAGATCTACACCCACTTCACCTGCGCCACCGACACCAAGAACGTGCAGTTCGTCTTTGACGCCGTCACCGACGTCATCATCAAAAACAACCTGAAGGACTGTGGGCTCTTCTGAGTGTGGCGCTGCCCAGGTGGGTGATGATCCCAGTGGTGGCCCCCCCCCAAAATGGGGTGGTCACAAAGCATCCTTTGGGGATGGGCTGGGCACTGCCTGCCACCCGCAGGCTGCCCCCTGTCCCCAGACCCTTCCCTGCTCACTTCTACTCTCTCCTAGGACCCCCAAAGGAAGGACCACGCCACCCCCCACTCCTGCTTCTCTTTGGATTCATCCCTCCGTCCCCACCCCATTAAGAGACTTTTTGGGTGCCAGCACGGTGGCAAGGCTCATGTCCCTCCTGCCACCCGCGCTTGCCCCCCACCATTGTCCTCCTCCTCCTCCTCGCCGGCGTCGCCCTTCCCAGGGAAGACAAGGTTTTAATCTTGGTTTGTAACCCCTGAACCGCTCCAGCCCCCACTTCATTCACTCCGAGCCCTGGTGCTCTTCTCACTGTTTACATTGCAAGTGTTGCTGGCATGGGGGGCACAGGGTCCCCTCGGGGATGCCCACCTGGCCACAAACACGACCGATGACATTCCTTTTAGTAAACCAGAAAAGAAAGAAGAAAAAAAAAAAAGGAAAAGAAAAAACAACCCAAACCCAAAACCATGCAAAAAAACCCACACCACACCGGTTGGGGCCAGGTTGCTTTTTAAAGAAACCTTTTTACCAAACTATTTAAAAGCATCAAGTGCTACGTGGTGGCAGCGTCCTCCGTGGCCAGCCCACCCCCCAACCGTGTGCCTTGGGGGGGAGGGTCTGCACCCCACCCCGCCTCACTGCCCCCATCCCAACGGGCAGCCCGGGCAGGAGGGCGGGCAGGGGGTGCTGCCCGCTGCCTCTATCCCCCCCCCCTTTCTAAGCCTAGTTTTTAGGTCTAGCCGTTGCGTTGGGCGAGGAGAGCCCGCTGTACAGCGCGGCCCCCGCTGTCCCCCCCAGCCCAAGGGGGACCCTTCAGCCGGTGCCTGCGGCCTCGCTTTTCCCACAGGATGTTTTTCCGAATTGTTCACACGATTTGAAATAATAAAATGTAGAAAGGAAAAAAAAAAAAAAAGAAAAAGACATGTCCTGAAACTGCCTTTGTGACATGAGGGTGGGCAGGGGGGGCTTCATCTCTGTGGTTGGGGTGGGGGGGGCCCTGGGGTGGGAGAGGGACACGAGGTGGGCTGGTATCCCACCAGGATCAGCAGAAGCCCCTGGGTATATGGGAGGTGGGAGCAGGGGTGGGGCCCGTGGGGATGGAGCTGGGATGCTGCTTTGGGGCTGAGCCTCACCCTGAGTGGGCTGCAGGGTGGGGATGGACACGTGACCACCCCCTGGCTCTGCAGCTAGGGGATGGTGGCAACCAGGAGGCCCTGGTAGCACACAGTCCTTGGGGATGCCCAGTGCCCTGGAGAACCCAGTGACCTGTAGCCCAGAGGGAGATGTAGCACCCTTTGCACCCAGCAGCCTGCAAGGACCCCCAGATCCAGGGAGCACCCATGGGCACTCCACATCCAAGGGACTCCCAGCTCCGAGGGGTTCCTGGAGACTTTCAGCATCCCCCAGCTCCATGGTGCACTCATGGACACCCAGAAGCACCCAAGGGACCCCCCAGCACCCCCCAGCTCCAAAGGATATCTAGGACACCCCAGCACTCAAGGGAACCCCTAGCACCCCTCAGCTCCAAAGGGGTACCAGGGATTCCAGGGGGGACTGGTGGGAAGGGGAGTGAGTGGGAGTTTGTGGCCCCAGCCCAAGAGTGTCTCTGGGGTCACATCCTGAGGCAAATAGATATGATTGTGGAGGTGGGGTGGGGGTGGCAACAGTGCTGGGTCTCAGAGGAGGGGGAGACTGGACTGGGGACGGGGCACTGGTCTGGGGCTCAGAAGAGCCCGCAATCCTTGAGGTTCTCCTTGATGATGATGTCGGTGACGGCGTCGAAGACGAACTTGACGTTCTCAGTATCGGTGGCGCAGGTCATGTGGGAGTAGATCTCCTTCACATCCCGCCGCATGTTCAGCTCCAAGAACTGCACCTTGATGTAGTTGCCCGCATCGTCATACGTGTTGGGACCTGGTGGCATGGCAGTGAGTGGGGTCCCCTCCTGGGCTGGTGTCCCCCTAAGGGTGCTGGCCCAGCGTCATCCAACACTCCCTCGGGTGGGCACGGCTCGTGCAGCATCACTTACGTGGGGTACTGAGGACACCTGGTGGGGGACTGCGGCGGGGTGGTGGCACCCAACCCTCCACCAGCACCACACCACCACCAGCTGCTGCTACACTCACCGTCGTAGTCGGGGAAGCAGATGCTGAGATGGGCCTTCTTGATCTTCTCCAGGAAGACATCCTTCTTGTTGAGGAAGAGGACGATGGAGGTGGTGGCAAAGTAGCGGTGGTTGCAGATGCTGTTGAAGAGGTGCAGGCTCTCGTGCATGCGGTTCTGTGGAGGGACACAGCTACATGGTGACCCCTCATGTCATGATGAGGACACAGGAGAGGGGGTGTGATGTGGTAAGCCTTCCTCACCACTTCGTCATCCTCCACCAGGACCATGTCGTAGGCGCTGAGGGCTGCAATGAAGATGATGCAGGTCACCCCCTCGAAGCAGTGGATCCACTTCTTCCGCTCTGAGCGCTGTCCGCCCACATCGAACATCCTGGAACAGGACAAGGAAGAGTCAGTGTCCCCCATCCCAATGTCCAGCCCTGGCACCAGCTTTCGTTGGAAGCTTGGCCCCCACCTGAAGTTCAGGTCTTTGAAGGAGAACTGGGTCTCGATAATGCCGGTTGTCTTGACCCGGGAACGCAGCACATCCTGCTCTGTGGGGACGTAGCCAGGGGTCACCAGGCGCTCCAGGTCTGACAGATAGCTGGCCGGGCACGTGGTGGGCATGAGACACAGGTTGGCACCCCCTGCCTGACCCCTCCCCCTGCCACACCCCTCACCCCACATACTAGCCCGCAGAGTCATTGAGCTGGTACTCGGAGGCACGGTCAAAGCAGGCTTGGATGCCCGAGTCCTTCCAGAGCCGCCCGATGATTTCCGACATCTCCTTGGGCATGGTGCCCTCCTCGATGGTGTCTGAGAGGTGCAGCAGCTTGCGGGCATCATCCTACAAGGGAGAGGGGTTCAGTGGGGCCAAGGGGCTGCAGGGACCCTCTGCCAGCATGGGATGCTCCTCACCTGGCGAGCTGTGTCCCCGTACTGGATGCTGAGGGTGGTCATGGCCCTCACGATGGCCAGCATGGACTGGAGTGTGTTGCTGTAGATGATGGCAATGAACTCCAGGCATTCCTCCAGCGAGTAACCATCCTGGTGGATGATCCTGGCCAGAGAGGGAGGCATGGGGCTGAGCTGGGTGCAATGGGGCTGAGCCACACACTAAGGGGTGGGCACACCCCATGGTTGTGGCATGGGGCAGAGCCAGCCATGGTGGGACAGGGGCACCCCGTGACTGTGTTGTGGGACAGGCATATGGCACTGTGGGGCATGACTGAGTGACCCCTCCTTGGCACTTACTTCATTTGCTTGACAATGGTGCTCTTTCCTGACTCTCCTGCTCCTGAAGGGACAGAACACAGGTCATGGCAGTGCCCATGCCATGGGTGCCCCAAGCTGTGCCTCATGCTGTCCCACTGGGACCCCTGGAGTCTGACACGGCTCGGGGCCCTGTTGGCTGTGCCAGGTTCATGGCTCAGGGTGTGCAGAGGGATTACAGCCTGGTGCCAGTGGCATTAAGACTGGGCTGAGCTGCTGCGGCTAATGGGATCTGCAGCAGCTCAGCTGGGAATGCTCTTGGGGTCCCAAGGGAGGAGTTGGGGACATGGTGGCATGGCAACCCCGCCACCCACCACTCAATGCCCCAAGTCTGTTGGCAGGGCAGAGGGACATGTCCTGGGCCAGACCATGATTGCAGCCATGGCCTCACCAAATACAAGGCATCCCAGTCCTCAGGCACCACCAGGAGGGATTGGGAAGGATCTGCAGTACAAGGGGGCTGCATGGGGATCTTTAGGAGGAGGGGGGGGTGGATGGGGTGGAGTGCTGTTGGGTGCTTCTGCTGAAGGCTCTTGGGATGGATTGGTTGGGGCTGAGGGGCCTGGGAGTGGGGGGATGTAGGGGTTGGGTTTAGGGATGTTGACAGGGAGAGGAAAACACTGTGTGGGGTTTTGGGGTTGGCTGGTTGTGTTTAGGGGTGCTGAGGGTGAGGGAAACGGGAGGTTGTTGGCAAGGGCTGGTTGGGTCTAGGGGTGCTGAGGGTGTGAGGGAAACATGAGATAGGCTGTTGGGGTGTGCCGTTTGCTTTTAGGGGTGCCAAGCAAGTCAGGGGACTGTTAGGATAGGCTGGATGGGTTTAGGGTGCTTAGGAGCAGGGGCTGTTGTGTGGACTGTTGGACTGGTTGGGTTTAGCAGGCAGTCAGGGAAACTTTGGTTGGGTTATAGGGGAGGGGTTGGTTGGTTTTAGGTATGTCTGGGAGTGGGAGGTTGTTGGGGGCACTCTTGGGCTGTGCTGGTCTGGTTTAGGGATGCTGGAGGCATCAGGGAAACATTGGGTGGGCTGTTGAGATGGGGAGGTTGGGTTTAGGGCTGCCTGGAAATGGGAGTGCTGTTGGAGTGGGCTTCTTGTTTTTAGGAGTGCTGGGGAAGTCAGGGGAATGTTAAGTGAGCTGTGAGGGTGGGTTGCTTGGTTTTAGGGTATCCATCTGGGGGCCAGGAGAACATTGGGTGGACTGGTTGGGTTTGGGGGGGCTGTAGGATGTGCTGGTTGGGTTGAGGGGTGTTGGTAGGTGCCGGAGGAACATTGGATGGGCTCTTAGGGTGGGATGCACAAAGGATAGGTATATCCCCCAGGGTGTCATATCCCCCTTACCCAGCAGCAGAAGCTTGACAGTCCTGGCATCCTTCTCAGCGTCTTCCTTGAGCTTCTTCTCCAGCTCCCGGGAATGCTTCTCCTCGGCACTGGCCCCGGCTCCCATCCTCGGCCCTGCGGCCCTGCGGCTCACCACCCGCTCCTTGGAGGTCAGCACCAGGATGGGCAACGAGCTCCAGCCCCCCGCCGCCTCCAGTGCTCTCTCCCTGTGGCCGCCGCCGCCGCTGCCCACCCGATGTGGGACAAGGACGGGGCCAAGGTCCGGGGGGCCGCCTGAGGGGGGCTGTGCTCAGCACCCGGGGCTTAAGCCAGGCCCCCCCGATAAACCCCCTTCAATCTGCAGCAGGCTGAGCTCAGCAATCCTGTAGCTCCCGGTGTCAGCGCTTCTGCCGGGGGTGGGGGGGGCCCAGACCAACCAGCCCCCTGTTTTGCCCCTGCCCTGGGGCTGGGGCAGTGATCTGGCCACCCTGGGGGATGTGGGACCCCCACCCAGATGCAGTTCTGCTGTGGACCCCAGGAGTTTGGAATTGGGGGAATGAGAGTGTATGTCTGCTGGGGTCTGGTCAGTGTGTGGAAATGTCCCCATTGTCCCCATCTCACCTGGTCATACCCCCTGCTCTGGACGAGTGCCCAGAGCCCCACCCCAGCAAGCCATCCCAGTGTCCCTGGTCCTCTGTGCCCGGTGACTCCAGGGTTACTCTCCCTAGTGATTGAATGGTAGCCCCAGTCACCCCACCCTGGGTCCCCAGGGCCCTTCCAGGACCCTCCACCA